AAGGTGAATTTACTTGTTCAATTATTTTGTTTGACAGATTTAATTCTCATGTTTTGAATTGTTAAAAGTTCAATAGCTTTAAAGTAAGTTGAACAGCACAGCTTGGTATAATACACGGCTTCCACACTTTTTTAATTTTCAACCGTAGCCGATGTAAAGGACAGTAGAGAATAATAGTGGATCACAAGCACATCATGTGCAAAATGAACGGTTGGCAACTAATCGACTAACCTATGGATAACTTTTCCCCGATTGTTACATTCATCCAAATTTAAATGAGTTTGACAGATGGTCCGTCTGAATATCAAAACTGTACCGTACCGATGAGTTTGATTCTAATGATAGAGTTGAACGGCTAAAAAGCATGTCATATCCATTTAGATTGGATCCCAAGTCCGGGACATGAAGTGAAAAATGAGGTGAATTGTAACCATCAACGCTGCTTATTCGCTCTCTCATAGAATTGGTAAAACATTTGGAAAACCCATTGCTTATTTTCAGCGGTAGATCTGCGGAAAAGAATTTTTTGCTTTTATCCTCAATTCACCGAAATCAAATATATTCACTGTGGTATAGAGACATTCGAACTTTGTCGGATGGTTCAGTAATCACTTAAAAAGACCACAGTTTCGTGGCGAAGGCCACCGTTGTAATTTTCATACGTTGACCCGTGTATTGTGTGTTCGAAACCCATCAAAGCCCGTGTTATTTAGCAACACTTATTTCGGATCATTACTGGAACCTCATTGCGCGATTGGTATCCGATAGCCCTAGGCTTAATTCGTCAGTCATCTTTAAGTTTATTTAACTGTACAGAGGCAATCAACAGTCATGCTGAGACCGGATGAAACATGCAGAAACTAAACGAATTGTGAACCTTTCCGTGCGCCGACTTGCGTACAAACCCACTGACTTCACTGTACGGAAAAGCTGGTCATTTAAACCAAGAATTACATTGCAATTTAAACCTTCTGTCTGAAGCGTCTATTACATAAACAAGCGATTTGTGCAAAAACTCATGTTTGAATTGTGAAAACACCTGTAGCGCGATACCCATATCATTGCGCGACATGCATCCCACCAGCTGAGTTACGAGCCAGCATCGTATTCTATGGTCCTTTCACATCGAATCTTCAAGTTAACAGATAGAGGAATATATAATCTTTCAAATGTTTTGTAAGCTGCCTGTTCTGCCTTGAGGGATACTTGCCAGGGCCTATCGACTGACCCGAGTAAGTCAAACAAGTTTGCATGTTAAATTGGCTAATTCCGTACGCCTCTACCGTACGCCTCCAACCCGTACGCCTCTCCGTACGCCTCCAACCCAGCAAGGATTTCGGCACAAGCGTTCGTGCACCACAAACTTGCTCCTTGCACAGGATGAGTGGACAAAATCCGTTGATGCAGGCCAGCCATTGGATATAGTTTATTTGGACTTCTCCAAGGCATTTGATCGAGTAAACCATCAAATTCTACTGCAAAAGCTCTTCAACTACGGAGTAAGAGGTTTGGTTCTGGACTGGATCAAGGAGTTTCTCCGATAAAGAACCATGTCAGTTCGTGTTGGTGATTCATTATCAGAGCCTATCATCGCTACCCGGGGCGTTCCTCAAGGATCCGTACTGGGGCCTCGTCTCTTTCTTGCATTTATAAACGACCTGCCACATGTCCTTCGGCCTAATACACTGATATTTGCAGATGACGCTAAGATCTGGAGAACTGTAACACATCGTGAGGATCATAT